CCTGGGGGGGGGGAGGGGGGCTGCCCCAGCCCCGAACTGGCCGCTCCAGCAGCACCGCGGCTGCTCCGCTGGGAGGGAAGGTCGGGCTGGGGCTGGAAAACCCAGTGCTGGATTGCGGGGCTCCAGAGGAAAACTGGGGTGTTCTGGCATTGCTTCCTTTTATATTAGAATCCGAGCAGGGCAACTTTTGCAACCCAAAAGTTAGCTAGGGTCAGCTAAATAGCATAGTTCTGTACTTAGTCTTTTTCTGAATCTCCCCTGCCTTTTGCCATTTACTTTGTGTGTTTAGGACGTTTCCCCGTGGTGGAGAAGTCTGCAATCCTGGAGCCCGGGTAGAAGTGGTGGCAGAAGTGGGGGACAGCAGAGATTCGCAGAGTATCCATCCAAGATCCATCACAGTTAGGTTTAACGCTCTCAAGTTAGGGCATTTTGAACTATTGAAGAGTGTTGAAGGTTGCAAGTTAGGGGCTTATTGAACAGGTGCAGTAATGTAAATAGACACCAACCTTTTCTAGCTGCAGGTAAAAACGGGATAAAAATGGGCAAGTCCTGCCTTGCAGCTGCTGGCCTGTCGTGATGCAATTCAGTCCTTTTGATGGGGACTTGGATTTATGCTGAAAAGTAATCAGTCTCTAAACAGGGGTGTGTGTGTGTGTGTATATGTATTTACATATAATGCATTCTTCAAGCAATTTTGGCATTTAGTAACTTTGGTAAATGCATATGTTAAAAATATGTGTGTAAACATCCTGTTTGTTTGGATGTTTAACCCTGGTCCATATTGTTCCATATGCCGGTTCCCTGTTCGGAGTGTGGTGTTCTGGTGCCGTGCTGAACGCTGCTGTATGGCTGGGTGTGCGTTGCGGGATAATTACGTGATAAGTAAATGAGACATAAGATTTAAAGCAAATGAATTCAGTTCCCGAGTTGCTCCCAGACTGTGGCAGTGCCAAACACCTGCTTTCCCAGAGACACGGGTGGTTCAGCCTGGTGCAATGGTGGGGCCTGCGGACGTGGTTGCAGCACAGCGCACCTACATATAAAGAAATACTTCAGTTGATGCAATCACATCATATTTGTGCAAGCTTGCAGCAAAAGAAGAGCAGTCCCCTTCTGGGGAAGGAGGATCTGCTGGGCTTCTATGGCATCTGCCATAAGCAGAGCCTAGGTTTGGACTTAAGAACCTGGAACTACCCTGAAGTGGTCTTATATTTTCCATTTACCAAACACTAATTAAAAGTAGAGCATGACTTAATAATTGCATAATCTTTAAGTATATAAAGTCATGTGTTGGATGAAACCTTGTGGTTTTGAGTTAAAGTCCACGGTGCAAGGTATGTTGGTTTTCTTTGTTGCTGACGATGTTTTTTCCAATGTCCAGGTGGTTTAAGTGGTCCAAACCTTCCAGCTAGCTTGAAAGAAGTCAGCAGACCCTGCAGGGAGGTTTCCTTTGTTTTTGTCCTTGTTAGCACGCTCGCTCCTTCCCATTGCACAGGTGCGGGGCTGGCCGCTTTGCTCCACGCGGAGGACACGGGGGTGGTAGGACATGGAAGTGGCTCCTGTGTCCCCGTGACACGAGTGGCTGTAGAGGGCTGCAGCAAGCGGAATTACAGCCTCTGCCGTGCTGGGGACTCGCTGCCTTGGCCTGTACCCCCACAGCAG